GCTGGCCTGAACACAATCAGAATCACTATTATTTTATATTTATTATAATAGTTATTAATATCATTATAAGGATATAATTATTTTTGAAATATAAATTTTCTTTGTTTCATAGTTTTTCTCCTGGCTGCGCAGCTTCCAGTAGCTTGTATTTATTTAGAGCTTTTATCCAATCATATTTCGATCATCTGTTGCTAGGGTCCAGAAATCTGCCTCAGGGCTTCAGAACGAACAGCGAAGGCACCTGGAGGGTGAAACACATAGCAGAGATACTGTTGCTTTGACCAATCAGGTGCTGAGGTGAAGACACCACAGCCTGCTAGCTGGCCTCAGACAGCGTCAACATTTTCTCATTGTTTGATTGGCTGATCAGAGAGCAGGAGTCAGAACCAGGAAACTATTTCTGTAGCGTCTTATAAGCTAAATGCTGAGCGGACATTCTCAGTGTTACAGAAAATTTAAACTCATAACAAAAATACAGAACAGAACAGACTGGACTTTCAGTGTTAGCTTCATGGTGGTGATAGAAAAGGACTTTTTGTTGAAATGGGAGGACCTGAATGACAGAGGAACTGGATTTTTCTTGAGGAATAAAAGGATGTTTTTGGAGTTTTTAAACTGATAATAAAAAGGTTTCAGTGAGTAAAATATATTTTATTTAAATGTTTTATTTAGTTATCAGCTTAATATAACCGTATTGATGCTGTTGTTAATGTGTGGCACAGCTGTGGCTGCAGCTGAGAAAACATTTTAAATGTGTCACTTCAGTGATGACTTTCATTCTGACTTCATGAGACACCTGTCTGTGGTGCAGAGACACCTGTCTGTGGGGATGCTGAGACTCCTATATGAGGTGCAGCATCATATTGTTCTGCGTTTGTGTATTATTGTTGGTTTTTGTAGTTGTGGTTTTGTGTCAAGTTGTACAGATTGTCTGTAAATTAGACAGGTTTCTCCTGTTTTGCATACAGACCTGTAGGACTGTCTTATAGATTTTTTTTATTATAAACTTATTATGTTCAGAGTTGGCAGCCTCTCCCTCCCTGCCCCCCCCCCCACTTCTCCTCGTCCAGCAGGTCTCTTCTCTCCCAATTGAAGGCCTAGGTGTAAACTGCACGGCCCGCCACTGCATTTTAATAACAGCTAAAGGTGACATAGATACTTTATTATGGTATAGTATTTAAAGTAAATATATGCCTGAGAAACACATAACATAGGCCCTTTAATACTTACTTTTTTGAAAAACTTTCGTATATCCAGTTTTCACTGAGCATTCTCCTGGTCTGCTCGCTGAGCCTTCATGCTGTACTTAGCATGGCTCTGTGTGTAAACTTGCTAGCATGCTGCTATTAAGTTAGCAGAAAAACGTGGACTGGATTTCATGTGGTGTGGGTGTATA